CCAGCTAATTTTTTGTATGTTTAGTAGAGACGGGGTTTCACCATGCTGACCAGGATGGTCTTGATCTCTTGACCTCGTGATCCACCCGCCTCGGTATTTATATAAATATATATGTAACGTGTGTGTGTGTGTGTGTGTGTGTGTGTGTGTGTGTGTTACCTCTTTTGTAATAGCTCTACAGTCTTGGATAGTCTGTTCTTTTTTTCCCATTCTTTTTCTCTTTGTTTTTTGGTTGGGAAAGTTTGTAATGACCTATCTTCAAGTTCACTGATTCTTCCTTGCCTGTGTCCAGTTTATTCACTAGCCAATCAGAGGCATTCTTCATTTCTGTTACAGTGTTTCTGATTTCTGTTATTTCTTTTTGTTTCTTTCTTGGAGTTTCTGTCTCTCTGCTTACATCACCTATCTGTCCTTGCATATTGTTTACTTTTTTCATTAGAGCTCTTAACATATTTATCATAGTTTTAAAAAGTTGCCTGTCTGGTAATTCCAACATCTGTGTCATAGCTGAATCTCATTCTGAGGATCTTTTTGGGTCTTCTGACTTTGAATCTGTAAATGTATGCCTTTCAATACATTTTGGAAATTTTAAGTAATATCTCTTAAAATATTTTTGTCTGCCCCATTCTTCCTCTTCTTACCTGAAGGTTATTTTTCCCAAACCTGAAGTGCCATTCTGTTTTTTTGTTATTCTTGAGGTTGGTTTCCTTCCTCACTGATGCAGAGTAGGCATACTATGTTACTTTACCAGTAGTGGAGCTGGATTTTCGCTTCCACATCCATTACCTTATTTATTAGAAAATAAATTGGCAAGAAACTGGCCATGATTAGTGAGTCTGTCTGTTGCTAAGGTGCAGAGCTAGGCTCACAAATAGAGTGTGCCATCTAATACAGTAGGTACTAGCTGCATGTGGATATTTAATAAATTAAAATTAAATAAAATTTAAAATTCACTTTCTCAGTCACAGTAGCCATGTTTCAAGTGCTCACTAGCTACATACAGCTAGTGGCTGTTATTCTATCATTGCAGGAAAGTCAACTAAACAGCACCCACTTACAGGGATCAAGTTATGATTTTGATACTATCATCTGAACCACTTTAAGTTCTATAAGACTGACACTGGCTGGGTGCAGTGGTTCATGCCTGTAATCCCAGCACTTTGGGAGGCCAAGGTGGGTGGATCGCCTGAGGTCAAGAGTTCAAGACCAGCCATGGCCAACATAGCAAAACCCCATCTCTACTAAAAATACAAAAATTAGCTGGATGTGGTCATGGGCGCCTGTAATCCCAGCTAGTCAAGAGGCTGAGACAGGAGAATCACTTGAGCCTGGGAGGTGGAGGTTGTGGTGAACTGAGATGGGCACCACTGCACCCCAGCCTGGAAAACAGAGTAAGACTCTGTCTCAACAACAACAACAACAACAAAAAGACTGACTTTTATATATAAATATGAACAATATACATGAGAAATTATAGATTGGAGAATAAGTTAAAGCCAAAAAATAAAACAAATTGCTGTCAGAGTTCGTTCCTACTGCTTTCAGGTAACAGTTTTTTTTTCCATGCTTGTTTTATTGCATTGCACTGAGCTTTCCATTCATAATTAGAAAATAATTCTTTTCATCTTCTCATCTGTGAAGTCAGGACCATCAGCTCTCAGGCAAAGGAAGAGATTCTCTGCTTTGACAGTTCAGTGGTGGGAGCTCGCTGGAGTCTAACAGTGCTAGAAGGGCAGAGTGAAGCCTGCATTGAGAACTTCCCAGCAGCTCTCATGTTTTTCCGTAGAACAGCCTTCCTTTTCTAGGTAAATGAATTCCAATGTGATTACCAGCTAAGACCTGAAATAAATAGGTAAAAAAAAAAAATTGTTTTGGTTGTTTTAGCAGTGATTTGGAGAACAGTTCTGTGGCATGTGTGTGTTCTAAGTCTAGAACTTGCATCCTGTAGTTGCTTAAATGGCCTGAAGCCAGAAGCAGGGCAGCTGGAAGTCAGCATCTTTGAGGGATTCAGTGTTTACATGGGCTTTGAAGGGACTCCTTTCTTCTGGTCCCGGCCTGGCTTCACTGGAGCTGTTCCTCACTGTCCCTCGTGGTTGATGGCAGTAAAAGGGAACTATTTCAACAGGTGGAGGAAACTGGTGGTTCCCCTAGCTTCTTTCATAAGACTATGAAATTGTGGTGCTAAGTTACCAGGCACCTCTTACTACTGCCTGTCAGGTGTCCCGAGCCCCTGGGTCATGTCTGTCTTCAGTAGCTCACGTGACACACATGCATTTGGAAATAGACATCATCCCTTAAGTAGCTCTTAGAGGGAGGCATATTACCCCTTATCCATGGTTTCTGAATTTCAAACCTCAATGGACCACCCTTTTCTGGAGAATGACATGTTCAGCTTGGACAGGACTTCTGCTCAGAGCTTCTAATTTGACAGATGGACCTCACAGATAGGTCACTCCCACCTTCCTCATTCAGGCTTCCAGCCGTGTGGGCTGCATGGTCTCCAGCTACTCTTGGTTAGTGGCCAGCAACCTGGCTCCTGGGTTATTCTATAGTTCAAGGAAATAGGAAGAGACATTTTTAGGAAGCGAGACTGGAAATAGAGAGCAACGTCTATTGGCCAATCCATGTACTGTGGTGGGCAGTGGCTTTCAGCTGGAACAGTGTCCAGTGCTGGCTAAAAATCTCTTGCATGCAGTTTGCAAATCGCTGATGATACTAACATTGATCTTGTGATTAGGCCTGCCCATTAGTGTTCCTGGTAGTCGTACAGTTAGTTCTAAAGGCATACCTGATGGTTAGTCCTTCAGGTTAGATGATTTATGAACTTCCTTTGCCTAGGAAGTTTACCTAAAAACTTTGAGAGCTCATTGGCCAAAACCTCACAGGACCCCTTCCAGTTCTGTTTCTCTAGTTGGGAATAGAAATTCCTAAACCATCTTCCTCATATAAAATTTCTTTTGAAAGCAATTTTTATTATAAAGTTAATGCTCATTCATAGAAAATATAAAAAACGCCAAACTATCCGAAGAAGAAAATAAAAATCACCTGCCATTTTATCATTCTATGATAATTATTATTAACATAGTGCTTTGGAATAGTTTTTCTAAACAGATAATTCTACATCTATTTCTCTAATTTTACAAAGTTGGAGATGTACTGTATATATACAGTGTCACCTGCTTTTTATCATTTAACAGAATATCTTGAACATTTTTCTAGGTCATTCTTTTACTGTAAGCTTTATAATTTTCATCTGCACATCAAACGTTTGAAGGCTAAATTTATTATTTCGGTGCATTAAAAATGTAGTATATTATAAAATATTTAATTGAAGTAAATATAAAAGAAAAATACATTCAACCAGGATCCCAAAGCTCATCTTAAGTTCAAAAACAAAGATTTTAATCTGTGCTAAGAAGATAGTTTCTCAAAGATCAATGTGGGGAGCAATTCCAGAATTTCAGTTATTGGTATTGAAGGTAGAGAAAGAAGTATGAATAGTCTCCAGGTCCTTAATTTGGGTTAACATCATCAGTACAGTATGAGAACAAATGGGTTTTTTCTATTAACTGAAAACTGAAAGTAATATGGTCCCCAGAATGATGTCTGCTCTCCACCTGCTGGTGGTCTTTTAGAAAGCTCTTAGGAAGGTGTGCAGGACTCTTACAGGTGGGTTTGGGAGTAGGAGGGTAGACTTGGAGATAATTTCAGTCCTTTATATGGCAGCAGACAGAGCCGCAGAGCATGGGCTAGCTGTCAGCTTGTCTTTCTCATGTGTGCACAGGGACTTCACTATCCAGCTGGGCAGAGCAGTGAGGGCTGTTAGTGTATGGAAGCATCTGCTTTTGATACGACCCTTTCTTAGGAAGGTGGCCTGCACTGAGCATATCAGGAAGCACAGCCATGGAGGTGGCACTGCCATGGCATACCAACTCTTTTGCTTTTACTGAGGTCCATCCAATTAGAATCCAGATCTGAGGGAATAGAAACTGACCTTTTAGGCTTTAGATTTAACATTTCGATGACAAATGGCGTGTCACAGATCTTGGCAATATTAGCTGGTTTTTGTTAAAGCTTCAGAATTACAAAAGGAAACCTGAGACATGGACGTTTGTATCAAAGAGCCAAGCATCCTTTGAGTAGTATTTAAAATATCCCAAGACTAGCATTTAGTTTATTCCCTGTCCCTGCCCTTCCTTAAGCTCCCCATCCCTCTACCTCCCTCATTGTTAATTTGGAAAGGAAGCGTTTATATCTGTTTTCAAGGAATGTGTCCATTTCATCTATGTTGTCTAATTTGTGAGCATGAAGTTGCTCACGATATATTCTTTTTATCTTTTTAATGTCTGTAATGTCTGTACTGACGTTGCCTGTTTGATTCCTGATATTGATAATTTGTGTTTTCTCTATTTTCTGAGTAAGTCTGGCCAGAGACTTACCTATTTTATTGATCTTTTTATTTTTTTTTTTCTCTCTTGCCTTTTTCTGTTTGAAATTTCATCAGTTTCTGCTCCCTATTATTCTCTTCTTCTGCTTGTTTGGGGTTACTTTGCTTTTATTCTTTAATTTCTTAAGGTAGAAACCCAGATTATTGATTCGATAACATTTTTCTTTTCTAATATAAGCATTCAATGCTGTGAATTTTCCTCTAAGCCCTGCCTTAGGTGAATATCACAAATTATGATATGTTGTGTTTTCAGGTGATTTCTCTTTGATGCAAAAGCCATTTGGAAATGTGTTCAGATATTTGGCTTGGTGTGTTTTGCTGTAAGAATGGAGCTGTAATGAACTGGAGGCTCTTTGGGGAGAAGGTATTTGCGTTTATACATGGCCGTATGGCATGTTTTTCAGTGAAGTGATACACTGATGCTGGCGTCACTGTGTGAGCTTGAAAGCATATCTTTAGCTGTTTTGTTACTCTTATTTGCTTATGCTAAAAGAATCTGAAGGCAAATATTGGAATCCTTTTTATTAAAATTTCTTCTCTTTGGCCTTTTTAGTGTGTTATCATTGGGCAGAACTGGATCCTGAAAAATTCAAGATGCTAAGCACCTACACTACTTTAAGAATTGGGAACTGAAACATGAAGAGGAAGGCAGAAATAAGAAGCTGGTAACCTGAATAGCTCTGCAAAAAAACACCAAAGGACCGTTTTACCATTTTATGTTGTTGCTGTGATGAAATGAGGCAGAGGGCACTGCTGGTGGATTGGGGGATGGGGGCACACGTGGCAGAAGGCGTGCACTCGTGCCTCCCCCACAAAAAGGCTTTGTTGGCTTCTGCCACATCTTGGCTTGCTTTTGGAACAGGCTGGCCCAGCATCATTTGTCATCAAGTCCACCGTGGTGTATTCTGTGTGTCCATGGCGGGGGGTTGTCCGACATGCTCACTCTGTCCATGTTCTTTCTACTGCTGATTCATAAGCCTGGGTCCGTGTTGAGATGTCAAGAGAGCAATCATCCATGCTGATGTATTGTGTGAGACCTTCGCATCTTGTACATTTTCTCTTTTTCTAAAAATAATAAAATCCTAAATCTCAACAAACCACTATTTATTATCAAATTCTGCTGTGTTTCTGCCTAACGATGATGTCCACAGAAATGCAATGCGTCTGGCCTCTCTCTGTGTATAGCTACACTTCTTTTCAAAGAACCCTCTTGCAGGAGGCCTTCTCTGAGTGGCCCACACAGGCTCCTGAGTCCAGGTGGGAACCTGTCTATCCAGTTTACAGTTGATGACTTTGTACTTGGAAATGAGATGTCAGGAAAGGGAGTATGGGTTGGAAGGGAGTCCAGTTTCACAGTGGCCACACTGTTCTGACTGAGACCAAGTGTGGAGCCACATCTGGTGTATCCATCTTTAGGAGGTGGAGAGAGACTTCAGCATGGCAGGCGGTGCAGATACCCTTTATCCAGTAGTTACATCGTTGTCCACGTATTCAAGTCACCACACCCAGCACTCTGGGAGCAAGAGTGCTGGGAGCAAAGAAAGAACGACTTTCTGCCAAAGTACTTTCTCAGTTAAATTTCAGTCTATTGGTGGCATACTCAGAGTAGTCATTTTTGACATTATATGATTTAATAGCTTTATATATGTAATAATGCTCATATACAATTATCTTTTCTGGAAAATATTTTTGTATGTAGAAGAGACATCCTTATTTGTGATTTTTGTAATGCTGAAACTCTGTCTTCTGTGACCTTTATAATAGCTTCTGAATCCATCTAGTCTGACCCAGTCATCTACTTCAAATGATAACATATTAGAAAATGTGAAAAACAAAAAAACTCAATACACATCTCTTGGAAGATAGAATTAGAAAAGGCTCTGCCAGATTGCTTTGTTCTGAACCAATTCAGATGGCCCCGTATAATTCATAACGGTTTAAACCTCTAGATTTGAAGTCATTACATCCCACATGCAGACCCTGGCCAGCTCCCTAAATTGTATGGGCAGTGAGGTCCCAGAAGCCCTGCTGTTCGAATTATCTAAGCAGGGTTTAGAGTGAATTCAAATTCACGTTAAAGCTACTTGAACCTACACGTTGATAAACTCAGTTGTAGAGTTTGGCTTGCTGGACAGCTGTCATGTTTCCCCACCACAGCATTGTATTGCCACCAATGAATGCTTACTAACAGTTGCAGCCTGTCCTTGTAGAAAGGGGTAACGAGGATTGCATAAAGATAAGAGCTAAGGATCGTGACATTCAGACAGTGGTAAAATTCTAAAGGCCTTCATTGGTCAGAGCCCAGTTCTTGGCTCTCATTCTAAAGGGACAGAGACGAACCAGAGAGTGAGCATCATGTGGTCAAGTTGCTGAAGGATCTGAAGCCGTAAAGGAAGCACTGAAGGGGCTGGGCTGTTTCATCTGGGAGGAGAACTCTAAATGTTTGAAAGATATGGAAGAGAAGTTGGATCAGGAACAAAAGTAGGAGCAACAGGTGTAAGCTGAATTAACGTAGATGCTGGCATTCTAACAACGTGATTCAAAAGTGGAAGGTGATGTTGGGAGCTTTTGGTGTTTGAGCAGAAGTTCTGAGCCTATGTGTGTAAGGGGGATCTTTGATTAATGAAAAAGTCTTCCTCACAGTATGTAGGAACACGGTAAAAGTCAGAAAACGTTTACTACTTTTGTAAACATTTTGGATTGAAGGAAGCGTTTCATCATCCTGAAAATCACTTTCAACTCCTGGGATCAGAGAAATAGCAGTGAATGCACCAGAGTCTGTCCTAAGAGGGTCACATCTCACCACAGGGCCAGGTTATAGAGAGAAAAATGAAAACCCAAGAAGAAACCCCTTAATATCCGCAGCTACCTCAAAAAAGTGGTTAATTTCCAGCGTCACCTACTCTCTTGGAGGTCCTTTCCCAGTCACTGTGGAGAACTAATGGCTAAAATTAGATTTTCGGTGGACTTCTTGCAGAGTATAAAACTCTCAGTCTTTACATCCCTCCCAACATCTCTGCCTCCTGCTTTCGGCTTATTTAGAAAGCATACTGTTTATTGTCCATTAAAACATCATTTGAATGAGGACGGGAGAGGAGAATCGTACCATGTATGGCTTTTCTGAGAAGCCTTGGCAGATCACAGGCCCAGGACTTTAAACACAGCACCGTGCCGATAACACTGTGTAGCAGGACTCATTTCATCTTGCCTTTCGTGGTTTACTTTATAGGAGACCAAGCTCTTGTGGCTACACAAAACATAGACCAAATAAAGGCATCTTTGGGGGCTGGACATCCATAGCAGCACCTCGTGGTTGGTGGCCCCAGGGAGGGCATTTTCTCTACCAAGCAGTGTCCTGGCTCAAATGGGTGCCAGCTGGCACATATATGGACAATTTGGCATTTCACTGATTTGATCGTAAGGAACAAATAGTTCCGCAAACACCCTATTTCCTTTGATACGGTATCATGTGAGTCCAAAGCTAGAGAGGCAATCTTTTCGGTCTCTGGTTTGTCAGATTTTCTGCTGTTTTTCTGCCAGGCACTTTAAGAATTCTTAATTTGTGATTCACTGTTGATTCAGGTTTTTAAAAAATAGAGTTAAAGAACCTCATCTAAGAAAACATGGAGTAATATCAAAAGTAGAGCCACCCACTGGCTGCATCAGAAAAGAAGAGGGAAAGCCCTGTTTTGAGAGGAGTCTCTTCTGCAGACGGTGTCTTCATTCTCTGCTAGGGTACAGACACCAACGTATAACATTTTGGAGGTCCTGGGAAACAAAACCTTAAATTCCCATTAGGAAACTATCTATTGATGGTGTTTTAGGTTTGTTAAATCTAAATTACTATGTTAGTTTTGATAATGTGCTTAATATTTGCAGGGGCCTTAAGGATAACTTGTTTTTGAATGTTCCCTGAGGGTGGATCAGTTAAAGACTTCATCACTGAGCAGGAAACACATTAGGGGTGGTCTGTGGAAGACGCTGCCGCTGACAGCCCCCCGCGGCAGAGAGACGGGCTTGGACCCAGGCCGGGTCTAAAAAGATGGCCTCCCAAGGAAGCAGAGTTCGGTAGGAAGAGTTGGCCAGACGACAGACAGTAGGGGCATAGAGGAGGGTGAAACAACAGGTGGAGCTGCCACAAGGTGTTGTGGGGGGAGGGGCGTGTTTTGACATTGCTCTCAGGTTGGCAGGATAGGACTTGTTCCATGGAGGAACAAGGACAGAAACTAGACCTCATAGGTGAGCAGGGTCTGGACCACAGAGGTCTCGTAAGTCGTGATAATCCATTTAGGCTCCATCATGCCCCGCTTGTCATCTCCAGGCTGATTTGATTCAGTTCTTCAGCAGTTTCTTATGTGATGTGACTGTAGAGCGACCTGGAGAACGGGACGCAGCTCTGCCAGTGTGGTGTGATCTAGGGCCACGACGTGGGCAGTGGTGTCGTGGTCTCGACAGGCCATGGGGTTGCACAGACTTGGGATCAAATCCTGGCCTTGCTGTTGACCTGCTGCACGGCCTCAGGACAGTTTATTCAATTATTCAGCCTTCTATGCTTCTGTTCCCTCATCTGTCAGAAGGGGGCAGCGCTTGCCACTTGGAACATGGTCGTAAGGGTTAAATGAGAAGGAGGCTCAAACTCAGCACAGTGTGAACAGTCCCCCTGCTCCCCGTGCCTGTGGCTGCGTTACATCTTTGGCTCCCCCCGAGCCTGCGTCTGAGGTCACAGAACCCCCAGGTTTATTCCATGTAACCGCTGTCCTCCACCAGTGAAGAACCAAAAGAAGAACTTGATCGTATGCCTGTTGGGCTTGCCCTGCGGTCTGGTCTATTGAAATATTTCCAGTGTCACGTTTGTGACTCTTCTCAGCTTTGAGTCAACCTTGGACACATTTCCTCTGTCTTTAAGTCTTGGCTAAACACAGTTCACAGGATAGAGCTGGCGCTCCATTTGGAATCCTCTTTCAGATCAACAGGTACACTTAAATTCCCATGCAGCCCGCATTCTTTCTTCCCACATTGCCCATTCTTGCTGAAATCAAGCCATATTATTTTCACAGTATTTTAATGATTAATCCAATGATCCTGTCAAAAAATATTAGTACAGCACAATGCGTTATTTGTGAATTCATTCTGGCTTCCAATGAACACTGTGTTCTTTTCCACAGGCTCATGAGCCATCTGTTTAATCATCTATTCTAGAGTGATTTTAAGAAACCACATTTAACTGGGCTGTCTGCAGTGTCTGGGATCCATCTTGTTGCAACTGGGATTTTTTTACGTGTTCAGTTTTCTGTCCCTCTCTTCAGAATATTTTAAAATGTTGTCAATGGCAACTATCCTATGTGCACATCTTCAAGTTCTCTCAGAGCTTCAGAATCCTTGGTTCACTCAGAGCCCCTCATGAGGCTGTTTCCTCACCGACTTGGATTTCAAGTCCCCTTTTATGATGTTTATTTTGCCTTTTTTGAGTTTGAAACGTTTGCTTCAAACTCAAAAGCAAGTGGCTATGCTTTGATTGAAGAGCAAAGACCTTGCGCATAATCACGATTCCCCCAACTCTGGCAACTAGTTGGCTCCAGAGTGGTGTCGATTTCCTTACACAGGCCAGGCTGCTTCAGATGCCCCTCTCTCCCCAAGATGATGATCACCCATTTTAGCAAACTCAACACTCTGAAAATCACTCTATATTAACAAGAATAATAAACTGTATTTTGGCATTTTGGGGTCAATAATATGGAAGAGAGTAAAACTACGGAGAAACATCTCTGGATATCCAGGATTATAGGATTACAAACTACTATGACAAATGACTTAGAAGATTACTTTAAAGCTTTTTATTTGAAAACAATTTTAAACTTGCATAGAAGTGTCAAGAGTTCTACAAAATATATCCTATGTGCTTTATTCAGATTTGCCTGTTGCTAACATTTTCCTCCATTTATTATTTCTTCCCACCCCCTTTGCATATATACATTTTTTCCTGAATCCATTCAAAGATAAATTACATTCATAGTTGAGAGTAATTTACATGTCACGTGGTTCCTCCCTCCTAATACCTCAATATGTATTTCCTAAGATTAGGAACCTCCTTTTACAT